GGAGTGGGGGGGGCACCCCCCTCCCCCACACTTTTTTTTCCAAAGATAGACATAAGATAGTTGGTTTAGCCCCCCCCCTTCAATTAGCCACCCCACTTTCAATTCGCTTCCGACGATTATGTTTGAGAAAGGCATACAACACGAGCTCCAGGAAATTCCAGAGGTGCAAGAGAAATCAGGTGCCTAGGAGGAGTAATCATCCCCTGTTGACTGATCAGACCGCTGAGAGCCCCTATATTGATCAGGTAGACGAAACATTCCGTAGTCAAATGTAAAAACAAAGGCCTTTCAATTGGAATGAAATACCGTGGTATGACACAGTCTCCTTGATAAACAAGTTGTGTTAATTATGGTCAATCCATGTTTCATGAAGAAAAAAGTTTTTAAAAAAATATATTAGTAATTTTTTAAATATTAAACCACAGACACCTGAAGAGTGGATACCCCCCCCCCCTCCTTTCTTAAATGAAAAAAAATGTAAGAGTGTATAATATCTCAAAAATATTCATGACTGTGATTAAACTCTCCTAGATGTCACTGGCATAACCCTTTCAAAGACTAAATTTCTATAAGGTACTAGCATTCAAATTCAAATTCAAAAGATTAAGAATAAAGAATTGAATTTCATTTTTCCCAGTAAATTTCAGCTTGTCTTAGAAATGATCTGTCGAGGTCACGGCACCTTCTCCCCCACCCGCCTTTATATTAACCATAAGCTTCTGTATTTTTGAGATTTTTAAAAACTTCTTGTAAATATCCATTTTCTTTAATAGTATTTCAAAAAATATTTGAAAAAATAATAAAATAATGAATGTAAAAACGAATCAAGGCCTTACCTTCGTTCATACTTTTGAGAAACTCAAAAATAACTACGAGTTTCTATGGAATAAACAGCAAGCAAGGGGAAATCTCGTAATCAATACCGTCCGTAAACTATTTTTAGATTTTTCAAGGTGTATAGACCGAATATAGAACAACGCAAAATATGCAGAGACGGTAAAACTTGCAGATTTTTCTGTATTGGAGTTTCAGGCATTTGATGGGTTGATTGTGATTTGTGAATTGTGATTTCTAATTTAGTCTCGTGTTCAATCATCGTCTCAAGCCGCGGTCCGGAGTCCTCATAGCTCTCTCCCAGAATTGGAGAGGATCGTACATTTTGGCCGTGGTTTGCGTCGATGGTGTTCAATGTATTTTATGGAAAATAAAAATGCTTGTAAAATAATCAAAAATAAGTTTTCTAAAGTTTGATGATAAATTCAGGTACGTGGCATCAAGGGGCCGGGATGGGTGGGGTGGGGGTGTCCCAACTATTTTCCAGACACAACGTAAAAGATGCTTGAAAATCCGGTTGGCCATCCCCACTTTAATGTTTTGATAAAGTAAAGTAAGTAGGATATTTGAATTAAAAAATAGTTTTGAAAGAAGTTGAAATCTACTCCCCCACCCCACCCCCAAAAGAAAATAGGGTTTTCAAATTTGGACAATATTCCCTTTTTTGTAGGCATTAGTTTTTCTCTGGCTGTGCCCTTTCAAAAATGATAATAAATTCATGCAACAAATCAAAAATTCTTTAGCTTTTGAAATATTGACGTCCATATTAGGCATGGCACACTTCACTAAATTTCACTTGAATATATATTAGGTGTATATCGTCTACACCTTGCGAGCTACGGTGTATACAGCCCAAACGCGCCTTAATACTACTTTCTTGGTCATATTCCGACTATTTACACCATTCCAAGTGCGTTTCACAATTTACTATGATAAGTCTCACGTTTACTCAGGTGTACTTGGAACAAAGCGGCCGAGGTGTGCCGAGTGTTTAAAAATTGTAAACAATCGTAGTATCAAAGTACAGGGAGTACTGATATGCGGAGGCCCTGCTAACCATAGGCGCTTGGATTCAGGATAGTGTCTTTTGTGTCGTGCGGGGGTCTAGAGGGGGGGGGGGGGGGGCTGCCCAAATGCAAACGCAAAACAAGAAATTGTTTGATCAAGACCTACTGAAAATGAAAAAAAAAATGTTCAAAATAAAACATTAACACTGTCTCGCTTCCCTAAAGATACAAAAGTGCGAGGTTCCTTTTTTAAATTAAACAAACAATATTCAAAACTAAGGAAACAAAAGAGAAGAGAATTTAAACAAAACATTTTAAACCAGCTTGATGATATAGAGTCTAATAATCCTAAGGAATACTGGTCCTTAATGAACCAGTTGCGGAACGAAAAAAGAGATGATGGAAACTGCATTGAGGGTGATGGTTCCAATATTTTTCAGATCTTACTTCTGTTTCAGACAAAATGAAAAAAAAAAGATGCTTTAGAGGAAAAGTTAACAGTAATGGAACATAATAATTACAGTGTTTCTATGCATGATAGACAAAAAATTACAAACACAGAATTACTAGAAACATTAAAAAACACCTGGATTAGACAATATCTCAAATGAAATGCTAAAAGCATCACAACATTTCATCAATTCTTGCTTGTTAAAACTATTTAATGCTGTATTTACATCTGGAGAGTATCCTTCAAAATGGTCAGAAAGTTTTATTTGTCCGCTATTCAAATCTGATGATCCAAATAATCCAGAAAATTACAGAGGCATAGATATTAACAATAGTATTGGAAAATTATTTAACTTAATATTGAACAATAGACTTGACAATTTTTTGCTGGAAAATGATACTATTCATAACAGATAGGTTTCTCCAAGAAATCTCGCACTTCAGATCATATATTTGTGTTGAAATGTTTACTCAACAAATATATATCTCAAGACTGGTGATAAGAAAGTATATGCCTATTTTGTTGATTTTCGAAAGGCATTTGATAAAGTTATTCATGTTGGCATTATGTATAAACTGGAATCAAATGATATAAATGAATATTTTTACAGAATTTTAAAATCTATGTATAAGAATGATAGATTATGTGTTAAAGTAAATGATGAAATGACAGATTTTTTCACATCTGGGGTTGGGGTCAGACAAGGGGATGTCCTTAGTCCAAATTTGTTTAAACTCTTTATAAATGACCTCCCAAGTATTTTGGATCATAATTCTGTTTCTGTTACTCTAGATAAAGAAATGATCTCATGTCTTCTGTATGTAGATGACCTTGTTTTATTATCGAATTCAAAATCAGATCTTCAATGTAAACTCAATCTCCTCCATGATTACTGTAGTGAGTGGTGTCCAGAAGTAAACATAAAAAACAAAGGTAATAATTTTCAACACTGAATAACTGGTAAATTACTAAAGGAAGCATTCCAACTTGGTAATGGCATTATAGAATGTGTAAAACAATATAAATATTTAGGGATAACTCTTGGAAAGTTTACTGAAGCCAAAAAACAACTGTATCAGAAAGGCTTAAAGGCATGCTTTAAATTGTATAGGGAAATAAAAAAATGCTTATCCCTCTTTAAAAACATTTTTATATGGCTGTGAGAACTGGAGCATTATTAATGTTAATCCAAAAAGTAAAAATATCCCTCTTTTTGAAATATTTAAAGATTGGGAAGTTGAAAAACCCAATATGAAATTTTGTAAATATATTATGGGTGTATCTAAATCTTGTACAAATGTAGAAATCTATTCTGAACTAGGGAGGTACCCATTATATATAACCATGTTAAAGCAAATGTTCACGTACTTGTATAGACTAGAACATACATCATCTAACCTACTGAAAACAGCCTTCAATGAATACAAACATCATCAACAGTGATTGGTACTCCAGTATATTATTGTACAGTGAAAAACTTAAAATTTATTTGTCCCTTTGCAAAAACTTATGTGAAAACAAATTTAAATTTTACATTAAAAGACAACTACAGAATAGTTTTTTTAAACACTTAAAACGATACCCACACCAATTATTTGGAAGGCTTTGGTAAATTAAATACATGTTTTAAGTATAAAAGGTCATTTTATGTTGAAAAATACTTGAAAATGAAAAACCGAGACAATCGGGTAATTCTCGAAAAATTCAGAATAAGTATTGTTTAAGGGTAGAATCAGGTAGGTATGAAAGGAAACTTAATAAATTTGGTAAAAATGAAATTCTCCCAAGGTGTGAGAGAGTCTGTCAATAATGCACCTCAAGTCCAACTGAGGATGAATTGCATTTTTTTGCTAGAATGTCCACTTTATAATGACTCAAGAGGATAGTTTTTAAATAAAATCTTTAAAACCTTTCCTAATTTTAGACTGCTTAACAATGTTGACATGTTTACATGGATTATGTCAAATGAAACTTCTGATTTGTTGTTTTATTATGCCAACTTATAAATGCAAATTTTAATAAGAGAAAACAACATAGTTCAATATAGGCATATTGCAGATATTATACATAGGCCAGTTATTATGTACATTTTATGCATCTTAAAAGAAGATAGCTATCTCTCTGTTCATTATACAATGTTTGTTTTGTTCTGTTTTGTATATGTATAACTGTGATGATTTGGACACTGCTCTGAAGGCTCCACTATGGGCCCAAATTGGTTGAATAAAAGAATAAAAATATTCTGTACTATTCTAAAGCAAGAAAAAAGTTACCATAGACCCCCCTTGGAACGCTGACACCCACTCCCCCCTATGGTAAACGCGAAAATGTGTGAAATCATACTGAAATGGATATGAAAAGTGAAAGATTTTAGGCAATAGAAGTCATAGACTACAACCCCCCCCCCCTGCGAAATTGGTTTTTGACGTTTGGAAGAGTTTAGTTTTTCTTTTACTTGTCCCCCTCTGGAAAACTGGAGAAAAAAAATCTGGATCCGCGGCGTCTGTATATTAAAGGACTGCTTCAAAAATATATGACATTTTCTAAATCTGCATATTATTATACTAGCTACTTCTTAAAAACATACTACTATTTAGTATTATCATTTTATATTTATCATGAACCTGTATAGTGCGAACTTTTATTCAAATGATTTACATAATAAATCATTCATTTCATATCAAAATGACATGAAGAATAAATCACAATCAATAAAAAAATATTTTTATTGTAATCTCAAATATGGCGTTCTGAAAAAAGTTAATATATGGCACTTTTGTTTTTGATTTCATTTCAGTCTCTTGGGTCAAGGTCGGTTTTCATAGTCTCTCAGGTCAAGGACGGCATTTACATCCCTCTGTCTCTGTGTTCTGGAAAGTTCCTCTATCCGGTTCTCTAACTCGTGGATTCTGTGACGTAATTCTCCTGTAATGAAATACCACAATTATAATTTGATAAACATACACACACACCCTCTCTCACACACCCCCTCCCTAACACACACACACACACACACACACAAACAGAATCTGAGAGAGAGAGAGATTACTAGTAAACTCGTATACCTAAAATATTTCTGTTTGTTCCAGCAGTATTACCTTCGATTTCAACCAAAAATCTTGCGAGTCTATAAGCTGTAGGACATTCTCCTGCAAGATCATATATCATATCATATAAGAATGGAAACATTACACTGTATAGAGTGCATTTGCTTGAGGACATGTACCATTAATTTCTTGCAATTGACTTGATCAGAATTGATTCCCCTAAAACTTTCCAAAATAAAGAATAAAATAAATATCTAATTATAATTTGTAAAAATTTTGTAGCTTACTTCCTTGACGTGCTCGATACTCGGACAACGCCCACATTCTGTCCGTCTCTGAGTGACGTTCTATGATGGAGCGTTCTCTCTCTCCCAGGTCAGCCCAGCCTTAAAAATCATAACAGAGGTTAAAATGAAACGCTATCCAGTGTATCAAATTATATTCTACCTCTGTTCACAAAATTCTAAAATGTTCTCTGACATGTAGTTTATAGAAAAAAATGATAAGTATAGAGATAGAGATATTATGAAATGATTGGCAAAAGAATTGAAAAGATAAATCTTTGCTTCTCTTCACTCTTACTTGTTAAATATACCAATTTTAGCTGGTCTGAAAAAATGGAATCTCCTTAGAACTGTCTGTCGATATATTTTTCGGAGAGATACAGTTCTGCAATTGACTAGTCTTGTAATACAAACCTGGCATAATTTCATGGACATTTGTGAAAGGTATTGCCCTCCCATATCTTATATGTACGGTTCCGACTGTATCTAAACGTAATACAAACAAATGTAAGTGCAATCAACATACCGGTATAGATTATACACTGTACTGTTTTCTTTCCTTATTTAGGACCTTCACTTGACACCTATAACCAAATATTTCCAGTACTTTGGACTTAAGTAAGACGTGGCATTCTCGAGTCAACATTTTTTTCAATCAAACTTCTTTCAGTACCATTTTTTTTTTGTTTTTTTTTTAAATAAAATACCACATTTCCCCGTTTCACTTTACTGTAGTTAAACGTGAGGGGCCAAAATGCCCTTCAATAAACATTTTCAATAGTAAAAGTAATGTTTGGAAAGAATTGGGGGACAGCCCCCCCTTCCTTCCCCTTCCCCCTGTTACTATACGTGCCTACCCCAATAAATGTTAGAATTGCATACCGTCGTTAGTTGTTTCTCCTATATAAATCATATCCTTCGAAAAAGTAATTATTTTTCAAAGCACGAAAAATTGACCTCGTGAAAATAAGGGATTCAAAAAAAGTCGGGGAAAAAAGTAATCAACGCTGTCTGAAAATAGGACTTGTGCATGAATTGATCATTTACTAATTACTTTATCATGACTTTTCTTAAAATCTTAATGCATTAAAACAATATTTTTAAGGTCACCTGAGTAAACTGAGGTGGCCTATTGATACAGTTTATCTGTTTTTGTCCGTCGTCCGTTAACATTTTAACATTTTCAGCTTCTTCTCTGCAACCGCTCTAACAATATTGGCACAAAGCATTTATGGGTAAAAGGAAACAAAAATTGTGAATTTCATGCCCCCCCCCCCCCCCGGGGGAAGGGGGCTAAGAGTGCTACCAAAACTACTGATATAAATGTAATCTTTTAAATATCTTCTTTACTCTTGGACATCAAGCAGTCAAAGTGTTGGTCTGATTGTAATCAGCATTGAGTCCTCTACCAAGATTGTGAAATTCTTGGCCCCAGGATCAGAGATTTTAGTGCTATGGTGGTGTTAAATAGATTATTTAGTAAAAATACATTATTTATTTCAAAATCTTCTCTGCTCCTTGGCATTTGATAAACTAACCAAGTACATAGATATGATAAGCAAGAATGTATCTTCAAAAATTGTGAATTTCATGGCCCATGGGCCGGGGGTTCTGGTGTTAGGGTGGAACTCTACTGATTATACATGTTGATGTATAGTGAAAATACATAATTCTTTGAAAATCTTCTTCTCGATCTGCTCCTGGGTATTAAACAAACTAAGAAATAGTTATGATGAACAAGAATGCTTCTTCTAAAACTGTGAATTTGATGGCCCCTGGGTCAGGGGTTCTGGTGGTGGGGGGGGGGGGGGGGTTTACATAGTCTGAAAATAAATTTATGCTTTGAAATCTGCTCTTTGGTATTAATCAACCATTTCTGATGAAACAAAATATATCTAAAATTTCCAAAATATTGAAATATGTGGCCCCAGGGTCAGTGGTAACTGTGGGGTGGGGTGCACAACTGGTTTAAAGTGGAAATGCATTTTCTCTTTGTTAATGTGATCTACCTCTGGGTATAAAGTAACCAAAGTAAGCATGCTAAGTATATAATTATGACAAACAATGGTGCCTCTTTCGAAATCGTTAATTTAATAGCTTTTGGTTTTAGACAGGAACTAAATTTGATTGTTTAAAAGTTGTTATATGATATTCAGGTGACCTATAAGGCCCGTGGGCCCCTTGTCTTGACATTAGCATCAATGACTCCCTTTCAAAGTTAAAAACAAGTGTATTTCACCAACAATTTCCAATTGCAAACGAGTACATCACTATAAATTGACATAATATACGAGGGTTGTCCCAAAATTCCGTAGACAAGCGTTGTTTTGTAGGAACCCTACGTCATACATTAATGAAACTTCGTATATAGATTAAACCAATAATATCGAATAAATTTATGGACAAATGTGAAGTAACTACACAAATTATTTCAATTTAAAAGACATATTTCATTGTCTGGTGTAGGAAGGCGGCGCAATACCCAAAAGTTGCAATTTAAATTTGGTTTATCATAATCAAAATCCTTTGGAAAAGTAATTACAACCCCGTATTTTTTAATGGAAATGAAAATTCTTAATGCTGTTTTATTAACTATATTTCCTCAAATTTTGGTGTTTATGCTTTGATAAATACGAATTTTATAACATTTTATAAACATTGGGCTGAAATCCGACTTTTTGCAAAATGGCGGCTGCGTTGGCACAGGCGGCGCAGTGGACTATGACTAAGTGTTTTGCTCCTGAATTCACTCTTACAGAAATGTACCAGTCATAAATGTTTGGTAGACTGGGAAACTTTTTCTCGTCCTTAGTGTTTAAAATGACTAAAACGGGTTCTCTGTGTATATGTGAATAACAGTAACTAAAATAAAAGACAGGACTAAGAAATCGGCAAGAGTTTCATTGTGCAACTCCATTAAAGAAACAGACGAAAAGCCCATAGAAATATAGCGTTTTCAAATTATTATTATTTTTTACCTGTACATCCATATGCTTTGTTTACATATTTTAAAGTTTGATCATATCATAGTAATGAACATATTTCAAATTTATAATTGTAACAATTTCGTTTAATTTAAGAATTTGATTCTGGTAATTAAAATATTTTCGCCAAAAATTTGACCCGTTGTCATTTGTATTTTTTGACGTTGCAGATTGCTCCGGGTGTTAGAGAACGATATCACTTTAAATATTATTACTCGAAAAGTTTACAAGTAAACATGATAAAACTTCGTAATTTATCTGCCAAGAATACACTTAATCCACCCTGAAAAGTTTACAAAGATAAATTAATTTCTTTGAAAGATATGAGCTCAGTCTACGAAATTTTGGGACAACCCTCGTACTCTATTCTCTGACCTTATTTATGGGCGCCGCCATGTTTGGATCACATGACTTGACGCCATGAAGGTGCTGATAACGTCTAGCTGCAGATCTGTAGCTCTCCGAAAAAATATATATTGATAGACCGGAGAGTCTATCAAAAATAAATTTCGGAGAGCTACAGATCTGCAGCTAGATAACGTCATAATTCGGTCATACTCAATGCAGTAACTCATCAATTTTTTGGCGTAATACATACACAAACACGCGTTCATATGAAGTAAAAGTTAACTGATTCATTCTTTGATTTTGTCTTATTTATTTCTTCATTGTTCGTGTAATTATTATGTGTTAAAATAAATAATGATCGATTGATTGTTATTGTTTTAGACAGAGTTTGTTATATTTCATCCGTATATCAGCGGTTTAATAAATATTAAGCCGGGTTTTTTTGAAATAAATTTTACATGTAGCAAGATTAAAAGGTAAAAAAACATACAAGAATTTTATATCTTTTACACAGTGAGAGAGAGGGGGAGAGAGGGGGGTGGTCTCGAGTAAAATTATAACAGGTGCGTAGTAAAGCCATTTTGGAAAATAAAGAGCATACAAATACAAACAAATGTACGACTGGAACTTTTTACAATTCCTGTTTTTATTTCTGCTATGATTATTTTTCTAGTTCAAGTTATAAGCTGTACGTGTTAAATTATTCATTATCCATGGGTCGTCGAGGGATATTGGTATTATCAGGATGTGTTAAAGAGGGGCGATCGAGTCGACGACTGATCCTCCCCTTTTAACTCACCCCTTCTAGTATTTTTTCACATTTTAAAAAAATTCTGCGTACCATGGGCGTTAAACAAAAATTATAAATGACGACAAAATCTCTTCCAGACCCGACACATCTACATCTGTCATTGTGAATATTTTTTGACTAAATTTCATAGGGATACATGTGCATGGTTTCAATATTATTATAGGTTGATCAAGCGGATTATTGATTTATTTAAAATATCACCCTCCCCTGCTTTGATTTCCTACGAAAGCCCAGTGAGCTCATTTTCGTACGTAAAAAAAAAAAAATTTTCGCGTAAAACGCGAAACTTTCGCAAATAAACGCGTAACTTTCGCGATATAACGCGAAACTTTCGCGTTATAACGCGAAACTTTCGCGAATAAACGCGTAACTTTCGCGATATAACGCGTACTTTCGCGATATAACGCGAAACTTTCGTGTTATAACGCGAAACTTTCGCTGTTTAATTAGATATTTGCTTTAGTCTCAACTTTATTTTGACATCAAGTTTAATCATTTCAATGATAAGCAAAAGGCTATTTTGATCTTGGACTATTACAAAATAATTGTAAGCTTTCTTGCTATTGAATCCATCTTTACCGTCACAATTTGTCTTTTTCAACGCTGTTCAAAACAATACTTGATATCGCGATTACTTAACTTAGTGGAACTCTTTCGCGATGGAGGTAGGGAACGTCTGTTGGCTGGGGACAAATGTGCTATTGAATACAATGCAAGATCGATCATTGTAGAATTTATAAGGACAGATAAGTAAAAAATCCTGGTGGAATACCTTCCTTAACAATCGCTGAACCAGCCTAATTAATTTTTGAGAGGAGCTAATCCTTGATTGTTACATTTTTACGATATTTCTAACTAAGCGAGCTCTTCTCATTAAATTTTCATTGAAAATCGTGGCATTTTAAAGCTGATAAAATAATCTAAACTTTCCTTATTTGACGTCTACTATTTGGAATTCAATTCTTGGCAATACATTGTACTTTCGGCATAAGATTGTTCAAATCATTCGATTGTCACTACTGTAAACAATGCCATGTGCCCCTGTAATCTCGTGAGATTTGAGCTTTCTCGACTCCCCCGCAAAAGAGCGGTAGCAAGTTAGATAACTGCGAGGTAATCGCGATATTACGTATTCAAAGTTGATGCAAGTTTTTCAAAAATTAAACTTCAAGATTATTTATTTCGGGAAAATCACCCCTTTCCGGCGTCTTTTTATGCACTCTCTAGAGAATTTGAAATAATTTCATTTTATAGAGATCAAAATCAAGATCTCAAAATGAGGTTAATTTGTCAATTGTGTCCCACCGCATTTGTGAAAATTGGATAGCAGATTTTCATT